CCGCCAAAATAGAAACTTCCCGATAACATCGGAAATGACGTTCTAACATCATTTTAAAATATTCGATATCTAAAGCAGAAAGTGTTAGCTAAAAATAGACTTATTTATAGAACAATCCCCCATTTCTCACCTCAGGGAAAGTCATAAAACAGTTGGGTGCTAATGACTTTGTGAAAGGGAAAAAGTTCTAAACTTAGAAACTTCGAAAGAAGGGATTTGGCCTGTACCGTCCGCGGGTCGCATAAACATTGATAGGGGGCCGTATGTGGCCCGTGGGCCGCAGGTTGTGCACCCCTGTATTATGTCATCAGCATAGTAATTATTACACTAGTGACTTGATAAAATGTATTCCTTGGTGTCCAAAAGGATTTGACCACAATGTACACAAGGCTGCACTATAAGGAGAAATCCTTTCTGTCATGTGTATGAACAATCTATTTTGTTCAGGCTTTTTCCATATCAAGACACTTACTGGTTAAGTTGTCTTTATTCTGTGACAAGTATAAAGCATGGCAAAATATTGCAAAGTGATCCAATTGATTTTAAAACTGTGCTATTAACTCTAAATTTAACTCAGTTACTTATAATAAGATGCAATAAAAGTGGCAGATCCTGAAGAGGTGGTATAAGAAATTGGAACCACAGGTTGTCTGTATTGTATGCATGCTTAATTGAAGTAAATTTTATTCTCTCACCAGTGTATTTAAAATTTTAAATATTCGTCTAACTGTCAAGATTTAGCAATAATACTAATAATTATAATAATTTATTCTTTTCTTATTTTTCAAAAATTGCTTATCCTTGTTAGATAAATTTAATGAATTTTATACTACTATATTTATTTTGTAAAAATGAATATAGTAGTAGAATCAACTATAATGATGGTTTTAATTCTATTAAACACAATTTTTACATTTGAATTAATATTTAACCAAAAAAACATGAAAAACATAATATAAAAGCTATACAATTTTATTTAGTATTTATTCGTTCTAATTGATTTCAAAGTTATTTTCCAATAGAATAATTTATTGAAATGTACATATATTTTCATATTTTATTTCAAAACTTAGAAAAGCAAAATTTTTTTGTTTTTATTGTTATCATATAAAAAAGTTAGAGTTTAATTAACATTTATTTGATTAAATTAAAATATTTTTCATGAATTATTACTTAAAATTATCTTTTTGTTTTCGATTCTAGTTCTCTTCAGACAGTTACTGAAGTAGGAAAATTAATTCCAGATATGTTGCGGGAGGTTAGTTTCTTTGCTAATGATTACAATATTTGAATTAATTTTTTTTTTTTTTATAAAGAATTACATTTAAAATTTAGATTTTATTATAAAAAAATAATTGAGTTGAGTGATTGTCATTCTTTTTAAAATATACTTAAATTTGATATATTAAAAAAACCATTTATTTTAAGAAAAGTAAAAGTAGAATTTAAAACATTAGTCTTAAATTAGTCTTAAAAATTAATCAGTGTAATGACTTTTGTGAAAAAACTGGCTAATTTATATATGCATGAGAAATCTTAGGAACTTTTAAGGAATATTTACATTTTTTTCACTCTGAAATTTTTTAACAAATGCTTCTTATGAACATTTTAGTTTTAAATTGTTAGGAGTACAATCTAATATGCTTGTTTATTGTTTTTCATCCAAAAATAAGAATTATAATTATAATTTGAGTAGTATAATGGTTCAAAAAAATAACTTATGAGAAATAACTGTAATTGTCTTTTTGTGATAGTCATTTCAGAGTAATGCTGAATTTTTTCAAACAAAAACAAACTGTTTTTTTAGCAAAATGCATTTTTTACTCTAAAGGCATTTTCTTCAATTGATCCATCTAAACATTAATTTTATCAGTAAAAATACATATTTTATTTTAAATTACTAAAAAATATTTTATAATTCTTTGTCAAACTGAAACTCTGTTGCATAAAATGAAATTTTGCTACTTTTTTTCTGTTAAACTGAAATCAAGCAATTCAAATATTGTGTAAATTGAGGGTTAACTAACATTGTATTATTACTTGATTATATGATCATTCCATGCTTATTGTGGAAACCTCCAAATTTAACTTCCTCCAATTTTGTTCAAATTCTACAGTAAGATAGCTTAGGGTCTTGAGGTAAGATCTGCAAAATATTAGATCTGAATGTTTTGTAGTTCTCAAGACTGGAGACCATGCCAGTCTTAAGAACTATAGTCAAGACCTTGTGCAAGTTGCATGAATGATTAAATTTATTCTTTTATTGTACATCATTAAAACAAGCATACATTTTCAAAGTAGGTGACTTAGAACAACTTTTTGCTGTGAATTCAGTGGTTTACTCACATTTTTTAGCCTAGCATAATTTTTCTGTAAATTGTCCTTAGAGTGGTGGTAAAATCAATTGTGTACAACTAGAATCATACTTTAACAGTCTATAATACCTAAAACAAACATGTCTATTTTATGTTGGTGTCTGTTAATTATTCATGTAGAAGTCATGACTTTTCCAATTTGCAGAGATATGCTTAAGTAATACAGTAGAACCTCGATTATCCGGACTAATTGGGGATGAAGGTAGTCTGGATAAGGAAAAATTTGGATAATCGAAACAAATACTTTGTCTTCTAATGATAATACAACACGTTTTCTTTTTGATGACATATCGGTAATATTAAAAGTAAATACTGTATTTAAATCATAATCAAATTTTCAAGAAACAAATGTTCGTATTGAATTTGGACTACTACTGACCAATGCTAACAGACTACCTATTGTTTAAAGGGCCCACTGGTGGCACAAGAATACGGATTTTATAAAATAAAAAGCAGTTGAAACTGCATTTTTATGAATAAAAATTTGACAAACTATTTATTGTTTTATGACAGGTAAAATTTTTTCGCCACTCTTTACTTAAAAGCCGCGAACGCGGCTTTTAAGTAAAGGGTGGTGAAAACCTTCAAAATGCGAGGCATAGGCGGTGGCCCACGTTGCTCATGCCTTACGCCGCCCTTGGTCATAGAAATGATGTAATTTGAAAATAAAATTATTTATAAATACATATGTCAAGTTATATTTTTATTACGACACAAAATATATTTAAGAGTTTATGGCCATTGTGCCGGATGAGACGTTGAAACAAAAAAAGTTATGCATTCCATCACGTACTTAAACAGTATTGTAATTCGCCAAGTGCAAATCAGCAAATTTGTAAAATTTTTGTTTATTTTGAACAATCTGGATAATCGAAGTTCTACTGTATTTCAAAAAATTTCATGGTTGATTTGAACCAACTTTGAAGGACAAATATTTTCAAATGGATCACTTCAGATTTTTTCTTCTTAGTACCAATTTGAAAGAGCAACTTTTCTTCTGTTATTATCTGTTTCCAATCCTCATCTCAACCTCTCTAAGGGAAAAAGATAGCTTCAAAAAAATACCTCTGATACAATCTTCATTTTTATTAAGGATTTGGAATTTGCACATTTTTACTGACTCTTGATATAAAGTCATAATAAAATATTATTTTAACACTTTCATATTGTGTGACTTTTTTTTATTATTATATGAGTAATTTCTGTTCTTAATATTATTATTATAATCAATATTAAATTTTTATGATTTTGAAATCCACTAAATATGGAAATAAAGGAAAAAGTCATAAAGATATAGCTCAGTAAACCATTAGACTGAAATTTAAGTTATAATTCTAAAGTCTGGTGATTCATGTGGTGGTGATGAAATACTTTTTTGGTATTATTTGCCATTTTAGTAAATTTATCATTATTAAACCATATTGAGTTTTTATGAAAAAGCCAGAGATGGAATTGGAGGTTTAAAAATTGAGGAATATGAGTTGAAGGTTTTGTATCAATATATAAATTCCATAGCACTGATTTTTATTTCAAGAAACGTTCATGTTTAATAATAATGTTTAATTAATTTTAATGAATAGATAATAGGCATAATTTAAAATGATTTTATTCATTTTTGTTTATAACTAAATTTATTTGTATGCAGTGTCGGATATTTAATGAAGAACCAGCTATTCAAGAAATTTATGCCAAACATTTTTCGCGATATATGTGGCTCACTGCATCTTCACTTATTAAAATGACAGATAGATATAGGTAGGTTTTATTTATTTTTTAATATTTTGAAGTTTTTTATGTTGATAATAATTAACCTTTAATGAAATCCAACTCAAAAAACATTTTTTTAAAATATGCTGCATAAATTTCACATAATTTTGATTGAATCATGAAATTTCAATTTCAAGAAATGTCTTTTTTCAGTTGAAATAATGTCTTTTAGTTTTGGATGAAATTTATGTAACTAATGTACATCATGTTTTATTTCAGGTATAGTTAATATCCATTAATTATATAAATCTTTAATACAGTTATCACATTCTCTGTGACAATCTGCTTCAAGTTGTGAAACCAATTCTAAATCAATTTAAGTTGTGAAACCATTTTTTTTTTATAATAATAATTTTATTTTCAGTTTATTTTTTTAATATAAATGTTGTTATCTGATTTAAAGAATACAAATATTTATGTTTATATTAAAATTTCTGTATAGAAAGATAAATAATTGAAAAATAATTCTCATTTATATTGTCTAAATATAATAGTGAATAAAAATTTAAATTATATGTAAATATAACTTTAGTTTAACTTCTTACAGCTATACAATATTGAAACATGATCTTCAAGAAATGTCTATTCTTTTAATGTTTAAACAATTTCATTAACAGAACCTAAATTAGAAAATCTCATTTAATATGTGTATTAATTAATACATAATGTATATTACATAAAACAATTTATGAATTTATGTATTATTCAATTCCTTTCTAAAATGAAAACATTTAGCTATTAAAAAAAATGACAACTTCTTTAATTAAAAAGCTATATTTTAATATTATATAAGGTAAACAATGTTCCTTGTTTTTCATAATCTAGATTAACATAAAAAGTTTCTATTTTTTGGATTTAATTCTGAAAGTCTGCCAGACATTTGTTAATTTAAAACTTATCGAGGAGTTTATAAACTAAATTAATTAAAAAGTTTAAATACAGTAAAAACTGCTTAGGCGACCACCTGCATTCAACAGGCACCTGTCAAAACGGGCAAAAATTTCTGGCACGGAATAGTTTATTCATAGAGTCTTCGTATAAGTTACCTGTATTAAACGACCACCTGTGTAACGCAACCGCAGGCATCGATTTTTGGTCCAAAACAACATACAACACCTGTAATAAGCGACCACTTTTGCGAATGTATCTGGTCTAAACTATTGTTAGAACTCATCTCGACAACGTTTCCCCCTCCCAATATAATCAATTAGTCTAAACTCTTGTTCGAACCTATCCTGGGCACTTCTCCCACCCTCGAAATTAGATGCAGGTGTTAATAAATTAGTGTAGCAACAAAGGAAATTCATTTCAGTTTGTTGGAAAATATCCAAAAAATGAAAGAAATGCAAAGTGCTGTCGTCAGAAGATCGTGTGAAAATTATCAGATAAAGTGAAAATGGTTTATCACAACGGCAATTAGTGGCGAAGTTTAAATGGAAAAACAAAATTTATTTTACCGTACACCTACAATATTTTCCTTAGGGGTATAAAATATTGTACACGATACAATTAATCGGTTGATCTCATCGTTTGATAAAACTTATTTAATTTAATTATTATTATTATTTTTTTTTTTGACCCTCATATACAGTACATGTGCGATAAATAGTTTCTGTATCAATGTACATTATTTCCACGATATTTTTAGAAAAATAATATCCAAGTAATTTTCGCACGCAAAATATTCAAAAAACAATAAACGCATTAATGCAAAAATCAGTTTTACGAGCAACCTTCCTTTTTTGATTCCACAATGACAATCGTGGAATGTAATGAAATCATATAATGAGACATAATAATAAAATCGTTTTATTATTAATTATTTTTCTTATTGTACTTAAGAAAATATTAAATAATAAAAAATACAGTATTTTTAAAGTTAAAATAAGATTAAACTAACGAATACCAAAACCAAAATGATGTAGAGATACTACATGCTTGTATATCGATGATGTAATACACGTAACTGAGGAGCGAACGAAAGGAACCAAGTTGAGTTAAATCGGAAAAAAGAAAATGTGCATTATAATCGAGAAAATGCGACTATTGTATTAATCTTTAAAATATTGGTATTAAATCTGTCTTATAAAATCACGACGACTCCTGTAAATCGAGTTACAGTATCCGATAAAAATAAAATACAATACCAATATAGCCCTATCGTTGAAAAAATGCGCTTATTTTTGCTCATCTCGAGTTTTGCTTAGTAGAAAGCTAAAAAGTGCGCAAAATACGTACGGAAATACATTATTACAAGACCACTTGTATTGAACGACCACCTGTCTAAAAGACCACTTTTTGAAGGAACCGTGGGTGGTTGCCATAGACAGGTTTTACTGTAAATAACTTTCAAAAATACAATAAAAAACAAAATGTAAAATTAAACTAATGAAATTGTATAATAATATGAAAATTATATTATTAAACAATTAAATACAAAAACATAATTTAATAGAACTTATTGAATTCTGAGAAATATTTATTTTTCAAAAGTCTTATGGATAAATTAATTAAGCATTTAAATCCAGAAATGATAACTCCAAATTAAAAAAGACTGTAGTGTAGAAATCATTAGTACTTTGCAGGAATGTATGAATTTACTAGTTCAATATTAGCTGTATTCAGAAACAATTTATAAACCAAATTTAGAAGTTTCAATATGTAATGAATTAAAACTTCTAAATTCTGGAATGGCTTCATTCTAAAAAACATCTGAATCAAATAGATTAAAATTTTAATTCGTTTAATTTGAGTGTTTTTTGGATTGCATCCAATATTAAACCAAAATGTACAAAAATATTTTTGTTAAAAATAAAACTAACAATTGCTATAGTTCAGTCTGTTTTGTTAATATATAACGAGTGTCAATTAGAAAATTTTAGAAAAATATATGTACTATGAAATTACTTATCATATAACTTAATTTGTGCAGCAAATACAGTAAAATTGAAAATTTTATAATGTAAACATTTTTATTGACAGTTTAACAAATTGGTTATGAAACTGTATGTGGCATAGTACTTTACTAAGAGAGTTAAAGTATAATTTATATGTTTTAATTTATATATTATTGATCATATTATATTAATTGTATTTTACAAGATTGTATGTTATAAATTCTTAAACACAAATTTATTTTTGATATTTTTTAATAAAAAATATACTTTTGTTTCTGGATATTGCAACACACAGAAGGAACAGGACTGTGAACATGAAACTATAGAATGGGTAATCACATTGAGATATGCAAATGATTACACCTAAAAGATCGTTGTACCACTTGGTTGCACATAAGTGCCCTCTGAATTGTCCACACTTGGCAATATAAATATTGGCTTACTGGATAGCTATAAACAGTGTCAGGTGAACTTTCAAGTTGCACATGGCTTGCCACATCTTGCCCCATTGTCGACAGAGAATGTATTAAAAACAATTAGTGGACTTTCAGTGCATGGAATTATTGGGATGTGAGAAACTGGGTTATTCTATCATCAGATAGCCAAGTGTATGGGATGAGCTGCCATTAATGTTGTGCACTTGGTATCAGTGGAAAGCTGAAGATTGTACTCACCACAACACCAAACAGGACGCCAACTGAGAGGGAGGCTAAGCATCTCTATCATATATAGATGTCATAGATTGCACTGACACCTGCTGTTTTAGCACAACAGTGGAGCACTGTTATAGGCCTCAGAATGCCCACTAGCAGTGTGTGATGCCATTTCCTGCAAAGAGGATTGTCTGCTGGTGCCCATTGTTGTTGCTACCACTGGCCTAAACCATCGACATCTCCAACTACAGTGGAGCCTCAAATACAGACAGTGGCATAATAGCAACAGATCTTTTTCTGATGAGTCTCATGGATATGTGTTAGATGACTTTGTGGTGAATGACACCTGGATGTGTGCATTTAACAGCATTAAACTAGTCCAACATCTGATGTCATGGTTTGGAGTGCAATTGAATACCATTCGTGATCCTGCCTACTATGAACTGAGAGATTTCTCTACACTCTGATATATCAGAGACATTGTATTGGCAGAGGTCTTCTTGCATGGCAGTCATGATGCAATATACCAACAGGATAATGCCCAGCTTTGTATTGTGCAGATTGTGCAAGCAGTTTTCTGAGAACAGCAGATACTGCTCTTTTCACAGCCTGCACATTCATTTGATATGTCCACTATTGAACATGTTGGGTGAATGTGCAGTGCATCACATGGCTTGTTGGGCACCAAAAATGTAATGATGTGCACCTTATTGTTATTGGTACTATGGATAGATCAGTTGCCAATAGAATTAAAGAACATAAATACAAAATTGAGAACATAAACCTGTGACGTCACTTGCTGTATATGCCAGTGAACCAGGGTTTAAAGCCAAATTTGAAGAAACACAATTAATTAAATTGAACTTTAACAAAGACAACAAAGAATTTAAGAAATTCTTTCAAGGACTTCTAAAACATTAAAAGGAAACTGCATTAATCATAAGGATGGTGAATCATTATTGACAGCCTGGCAGTCATTTTGTGATTACCCATACACAAGGTGCAAAAATGAAGGCCAGACATAACTTTATTATTTACTCTAATAAAAAATCAATTATGTTTAAATGAGAGATGTAATTATTAATATATATGTTACCGCTAAAGCTCGAAATCCGTTAATGTGTACATTACCTAGCTAATCTGCAGATTAACTAGGGTGATCCGTTAAAGCTGCGAAAATTGTTCAATTTCTCAAATTACCTAGGTAATTTGCAGAGTATCTAGGTAATCTGCACATTAACGGCTTCCGTATCGTTAAAGTTCAAAAGTTTGTTTCTTNAAATCATAAATATATTTTAAACTGCAATGATATTTTAACAATTTTAATTGTAAATACGAAATTTTAAACGAAATGTATAAGTATCAACACAACACAAAGAAAATCCCGTATGTCATGCCGATGGATGAGGGGCCTTTGCGTGAAATGCGTATCGGCCTA